TGCTGGTAGAAACACTAAAAAAGAAAAGCATACTTCCTATGACAATACTGATCTAATTAAGAAAAGCTATGCATTATAAAGTGTGTTTTAAAATGATTTATGATAAAATATACAGACAAGATGAATGAAAAACTATCTCTTCTCTACCATGGGTGCTTTGTTTAGTTTTGTTTTCTCATTTTACCTTGGATTATAAATAACATTACATCATGGAAAAATATTCCTGCATTCTGAAAAGTGGCATCTGTTGCTGGGAAAATACTTTAAACTCAACAGCAAGAGGTATATTTTGTATAAATATTTCAGGGTTATCCAAGAAAAAACAAAGGAAGTAAACTAACGCGTTAGACATAAGACTAACATGTGAGGACAAGGTGAGAAATCTACATTGAAAAATTAAATGCAAAATCTCTTAACACATAAAAATGAATGGTGATCAATCAGTCCTTTTACTAGAATTATTTTTAATTCTTTTTTTAAGAGCAGAGAGCCAGAATGATTCTTTTCTTGCGTACTACAAATTTAATCTCTTGCTGAAAAGAATCTATCAGAAATTAGTTTCTCCATCTCCATCTCATTGTTATATAATAATTGCACAATATAAAATAAGGGCCTTGCATATATTTGATTTAAGTTGACTTAAGAATGCATACATTTGAAGTAATGTTCATAATTTTATTTTTTTTAACATATTTTATTGATTTTTTACAGAGAGGAAGGGAGAGAGATAGAGAGTTGGAAACATCGATGAGAGAGAAACATCGATCAGCTGCCTCCTGCACATCTCCCACTGGGGATGTGCCCGCAACCCAGGCACATGCCCTTGACCGGAATCGAACCCGGGACCCTTCAGTCCGCAGGCCGACGCTCTATCCGCTGAGCCAAACCGGTTTCGGCAAATGTTCATAATTTTACTATATTGGTTTCATATCAATACAAACTGATGGTACATCTACTATTTTCCATTCATTGAGAATCCATGAAGCAGCTCACAGTCTAGCTGCAGATATTGCAGAGCAAGAGTAATCACTACAGCACAGAGTGGCTTGGTGCTATGATCCTCTCTTGTACCAAGTACTGTAAGGACAGAAGATGAGCCTGGTGAATGTAAATCAGGAATTGACATCTCCAGTAAGTTTTGAAGCATAAGAAGAAATGTTCCAGATGCAAGGTAGGAAAAAGACATACTGAACAGCATCATTTAACAAAGCACAGAATGTCCAATAAAACTGACAATGAAGGATGTCTGTAAGAGAGTGATAGTAACTAGGCTGTGGAAGACATTAATTTCCGTAGGACTCCTTGCTTGCACCATGGTTTCTACAGGTGTACAAAACAATAACAACAACAAAACATGAGACAGTATGGTTATCTCTAATTTACCAAGCTCAGTGATAATTGTGATTTACCCAAAGTTACACAGCAAGCAAATCCCAGTAGCATAACTGAGGGTAAAGCTCAGGTGTCCTGACTCTTGGCCTGGACACAAGTTGACCTGGATTTGATTTACAGAATCGATTCATAGATTTGTCCTTGTTGAGTGCCCTTGCACTTAAGTTCTGAGAAAGTGTTTCAAATTTCACCCGATGTAGAGATTATCTCTGAATTGCAGTCTTATAAAACAGCAAATTCCCCAATACTTAATAAGTAATGAATTAGTGATAACTATTATTATTTGATTAGCACTATGAATTTTTTTCACATGAACATGTGCATCTCTTTTCAGAATGATTTAATCACTCTTTCAAGTTGCTAAACACATTTTTCAATTTCCTTCAAGCCATATTATATTGTATTTATTTAAATTATCTGTCTCCTCTAATATTAGTCCTTAAATTCTTTGAGAATAAGTAGACATTTATTTTTGAACTGTTGTTGCTTAATTCCACAGTTATTGCAAGGTTGAGGTAAGATAAATGAGAGGAATAAACAAAATCTTGCCATATAATAATTGTGCAATATAAACCATATTTGCTATATTCATTTTTAAATTTAGATGATAAATTAATTTATGTGCTTAAAATATAACATCCACCTACCCTTCCACTAGTAAGTAAATTAGTAAGTAAAATATCCCCCACAGCATCCCCAAATCTGCTCACTCCAATGACATTAATGTTTTTCAGTTGACTGAAAGATATGAAACAAACATTTTTATAATTATCTAAAAAATAAGTATAGCTTGAAACTTGGGTGACTATGAGCCTGAAGGGAAAATATTTTAAAATTCCCTGGAATATATTTATTTTTATAATCTTATAACAAAAGATTATTATTAAGAAACTATTTAGCTAAAAAAAGTAAAGATGCTGTGTAAGCTTCTAGTGGAGACTAATATTCTTGACCAATGTTAAGAAAAATAACACTAATAGAGCATCACTCAGTTTTATTCAGATTTATAGGTATGTAGTCAATTTTTTTGCAACATCTCTGAAGCAATCCAAAATATGCTTTGTAAAGAAATATTTGTAAACATATCTAATGTGATAAAAGATTTTGCTGGTATATAATAAAGCCAATTTTTGTTTTTGTTCCTATTACAGATTTATTGTTTACAGAACATGGACTATTGAGAAGTCAATGAATTAATATCAAAGCAATATATAATCTCTCTTAATTACGAATGTCCCAATCTGTGCAGACCTCAGGCCCAAGATAAACTTAATTTTTACCTCAAGATTTAATATGCTAATGCCTTATGAAAATCGTTTTGAATGAATATAATCATCCTCTGTTTTAATTAATGTTTACTATGAAAATTCTAATGTATGACCATGCAGCAGAGATTCTGATAAATGATGTATAAGACAGGAAAAGTAAAAATATAATAAAGTTCAGCGTATGACTATGCATTGGGGTGATAAAATCAGACACATGGTCTATCTCATGTTAAATTAAATGTAGGTCAGAACCTATGTAGTAAGATTTAAACCTGTTAAAGTGCCAACATAACATGATAGTGTCAACTAGACAATACACAGGGGCATTGTTTGCAAAGGTTACATCTCACTGAAGCTATTTGGGAGAAAGAAGATCCTAAGGTGAACAAGGTCCTATTTACATACAAGAGGCCCAGTGCATGGAATTCGTGCACTGGAAGGTGTCCCCAAGCCCAGCCTGCACCCTCTCCAATCTGGGACCCCTCAGGGGATTTCCAACCACTGGTTTAGTCCCAATCCCTGTGGAATCCCTGTGGGATCAGGCCTAAACAGGCAGTCGGACATCCCTCTCACAATCCAGGACTGCTGGCTCCCAACCGCTCGCCTGCCTGCCTTCCTGATTGTCCCTAACCACTCTGTCTGCCAGCCTGATCAACACCTAACTGCTCTCCTGCTGGCCTGATTGCCCCCAACTGCCCTCCCGGCTGGCCATTTTGTGGCGACCATCTTGTGACCACATGGGGCTGCCATCTTTGATCACATGGGGAGGTCATCTTGTGCCAGGGCATGACAGTCAATTTGCATATTACCTCTTTTTTATGTAGGATAAACGTGATTTAGTTTACCAAACTGTGAGAACATTACATTGACAAACTTCAAGTACAGTTTTGGCTTTGTGAAGAAAATCACGACAAATTTTACCTGAAATAGAAGCATGGACAAGAGAGGAACACGATATGGGGTATGCCTATGAGTTGACCTCTTGGGATCAACTCAAGACTTAGTGGGAAATAAAGCTAAGGGGAGAGCTAATAAAACCTTGAATTCTTCATAATTATCTGTAATACAAATTCAGTGAAATGTTGAGATTAGGGCTGAAATTAAGGAAAAACTGGTAGTTCTAAAACCTGGTTGCTTCTCAATAGACACGGTCATTTATAAGTGGGAGATAAACCTTTACAAGAACTGCAGCCCTGGGAGATACATATTGCATTTCTTTCAGAGGTAACGCAGAGATTCAAGTCCTTCTCTGAACAGTATTTAAAAAGAGCTGAGAACCCATTCAGGATAATTTCCTTTTTGAGTTATGGATTTTCCTGTGGTGAGAATCTATAAGAGAACTGGCCACAGGATGAATGCTGTCTCTCATTGGATGGTATGTACAAACCTAAATGTGTTCACTATATTTAAACTTATATTGAGATTTGGAAGATAATTTTTTCTCAATATCTACTAATATTGATTTGAATGCATATAACATATTGGGTTTTTGATATTTTGCTTTTTCCTCCACTTTTATTCTATTTGCCATAGTCTGGTTTTTATTGTGCACAAACTAGGGAACAAGGAATGGGGATAAAATAAAATCTCAATAGAGGAATAACCTTGGTTTTGCTGAAAGTTTTCCATCTTCTTGCAGATAGGCTCACTGTTCAGGACCTGAAAAGAAGCCTACTTATGGATGTTTGAATCAATGTATCTAAAAAGAGTAAGACTTTCTGTCAGAACAGAAAGTTCTTGTTATGTTTTTAGGCTACATTTATGCAGGCGTTCTGTAAAACGTGAGCCGAAATGATATGAAAACTGAATTATTAATTAAGGGCCAGAAATATGACTGAGGTATATAGTTATTTGAAAATGAGCCCTCTAAGTTATATTTACTAAATAATCATTTGTATGTAGTTCAGAAAATGAAGACACACAGTCTGTGTGTATGCACATATTTATATAGAAAAAAATATAATTACTATGATCCACAACAGCTTTTATTCTAGAGCCAGGTCATTATTTATATTTCTAACAAAAGAAAGGTTACAATTATGAAAAGAAGAAAATAATTGAATACCATAAGGTAATTTAAGTTTTTGTGCCAATACAAATGCTATCTAATGGCCACATTTTTCAGACATTGATACATTGTAAAGAAGTCCTCTATTTTTTTTTTTTTTAATTTTAGTTGCTCTAGGGAGACACACACACACACACACACACACACAAACACACACACACGTAGAGGAGGCTTTCCTGGGGTTCCCTAGGATGGGAATGGCTAAGAAGAAGGGAGGACACCTCTGCTGTCCTGGGTCCTGGGGGGGCTTTGGGGAGAAGGGGCTGCGGCTTCCACTCAGCTGCCGCCGCAAACCTGTGAGGTGTCTGACTTCAGCCGCTTCGGCAGCCAGATCTTTCTCCATCGGGTCCTCAGCTAAGACCGCGGCCATGCCGGTGAAGGTGACGGTGACGGTGACCAGCCTGACCATCACAACCACGTCCTCTTTGGACTCCCTGACCATCCTGGGGTCCCCTCCGGCGCTGTGCCAGCCCCTGGGCCTGCTCCGCCTGCTCCAGTCGCTTTCCACCTGCATGGCTTTCTTGCTGGTAGCCAGCCAGGGCGACTATGTAGGGCTCTCGGGTAACTGGTGCGTGTTCGCCTGGTGCTTCTGCTTCGCTGTGACCTTCAACATCATCCTGGTGGAGCTAGGCGGGCTCCAGGCTCGCTTCCCGCTGTCCTGGCCCAACTCCCCCATCACCCACTGCTCCGCCGCCCGCTTCTGCCTCTCGGCCTCCATCACCTACCCCACCACCTACGTCCAGTTCCTGAGTCAGGGCCGCACCAGGGGCCACGCCATCGACGCCACTGCCTTCTCCTGCATCGTGTGTGTGGCTTATGCCGCCGAGGTGGCCTGGACCGGGCCCGGCCAGGCGAGATCACGGGCTACATGGCCACCGTGCCAGGCCTGCTCACGGTGGTGGAGACCTTCGTGGCCTGCATCATCTTCGCCTTCATCAGCGAACCCTACCTGTACAAGAACGAGCCGGCGCTGGAGTGGGGCGGGGGCGTCT